AATATTTTCTAAACCACTGGATATTTAACAGTTGGGTTTTAAGCTCTCTAGTTTCTTTCTAATAACACCAACATATATATTAAAGAACATAAAAGTCATTTATATATCCGTATATAAGGTGAATACCTTATTGATAAACCAAGGTATGTTATTTGGATAGGCTTGTATTATGAGTTTTTTTTGTTACTAAACTATTATGTTAGAGTTATTAGTTGACTAAGCCAAAAGATACATGTAAGATGTATGATCAATAGTAATGTTAGTTTAAAGTACAATATTATTCATAGAATACAATCTATAATAGATATAGGCCTTGTAAGATTGGATGTTCATTGTTGAGTAATCTTAGATTCAAACAAAAATGTTAAAAATTATCATAAAGTTCAGGTTCTAGAGAGTTAAGTGTCATAGTTCTATTCTTGAAAAGTATATTGTAACTTAATCATTAGAATTAAGCTTAGTAACTATAGTTATTATATAAAGATGTAATGATATGCAATAGTGAATTATTCATTCAATTGTTAGAAGTGTTATTACTTGTGGGTTTGTTCCCCTATCAATGTATAACGTAATGATACCATCAATTAGAGAACAGTGAATTATCGACTGGACCAATGATGCATAAAACCTCTACGAGCAGTCTACAGTCCTTAGCGATCTTAATTCCTGCCTAGCCCTGCCTGTTAAGAACAGAACATCAATCTCAGCCTCTGTGATATGGATAATGTATTTCAAACATACCAGGTTTATATACAAACCAAACAGACCACATCATACCATAAAATAGAAAATACACATTTGTAAAAAGATTTAACCGAAAGTGGTTGTGAATGTGGGAGACTGTAATTAATAAACTGGGCATAACTCAAGAATGATAAGTCGTGTAATAATAATATATAAGTCAAAATAAAGCTTATAATAAGAGGAACATGAATATGAATAGTTGAGTTACTTGACAATTATACAACGCAAAATATATGTATAGTATTAGTCCAGAAATAGATTCTAACAGTTGCCATTCATTATTCTCATCGGGATACAACAAGAAGTAAATTATTATAAACCTTAATGATAAGATCATGGATTGGATATTAATTTAACTGTGATTCAGTGTTATATAACAATCAACAAATGATGGGTATCCATATCAAGATTGGATTTGATAGTTTTAACTAAATTGAGTATTTAATTAATTAATTTATTTATTTAAACATAATAAACATTGGTACAAGGAGTCACCAAATAGATATGCACCACATAAATCATTCGATTTGTGTGAGGGTTGGGATACTGTCCGCACACACAAACTGAAGCAGTTGGTTTTCTTAGTGGGCCATTCCCCAAGCCTTTGACCTAAGGGTCTAATCCGCAAGACAGTGGAGTGACATACGGAGATACAGTCCCATGGTCATCGGTGACCAACAATAGGTTCATACGCCATTTGTTCCTTTAGGATACTGGGGCCTCATGTGCATCATTGGTTTTGAATCATAGTTTTCCAACTCCTCTAGGTGGACTCTCCGTGTCCATGATAATAAATATTGTTCTTTTTAATGTTATATCCCAATTTACCTGCTCATGTAGAGCTAGGTATATAGGTCGTTCGATGTGTACTTTATTTAAAAGAATTTAAGAATATTATTCGGCGTGGCTAAGAAGAGGAGGAAAAGGCTCAATAATAAGTTTAATAATCGAACACTTTGTGAACAAAGGTCACTCAATCACGATGAACTTTGCGTTCAAATTCATCTACAAAGGTAAGTAGAAGTCTTCCAATGACAATTAGATTTCGTCTTCTTAGCATTGCCGAAGCAATAGCCATACATCTGAGAAAGCCAGAATTATGTGTGCAAAAGAGATCGGTACAACCTCTTCTTCGACCATGGTCTTAATGTCTTATAGTTTTTTGTGGATTTTTAAAAATTTTTTCCTCTTACTCTTCTTCTATTAAAGCCATTTGTTTCCCCTTCCATGTTTTCTTTAAATCTTCTACCCTCAACTGGTTTATTTCTGTTTCGACGATCCTCCTGATTACATCTATTCTCAATTTCAACGTTTTATCTTATCATTTTGAGCTATTCTGTTTCCATGATTATTTCCCTATCTATCTTTTGATGAATATTTAAGCGAGTAATAATGAAATGTTTATTAGGTTCAAATTCACTTGGTATTGTTTGTTTGAATCTTCCCGTTAATGTTTACGACCGCAATTGGTCAGTCTCTTTTTTTGGCATATGTGTATACTGTGAGTACTGCCTCGATATAGCCTTAATTCATAAGCATTATATGCTAAGATAGATAATGATTAGCAGTGGAATCTAGGACGCGCGTTTCGTCCTATTTGAGACTCGTCAGCTGGATGTACTTGCATTTCGTAGTTGATGTTCCCTTGGGTTTTCCTTGTTTAAAATTTTTTAATACATTTGTTTATTTTACCTCACTGTCACCATGTTTAACAGAAGTTTATTATCATTATTATTGTAATTATTATCATCCTAAAAACATAAGTATATATATTTGTGATTGTACAGCTTTGAAAATGAATTCACTGAAAAGAGAACTCTTCGCTAAACTAATCTTCCTTGTTAAATTTCTTAATGGATGTATTCCGTTTACTGTATCCTAATGAATAAAAACAAATTGTATCTCTAACGATGCTTCGTGACTTAATATAATTCACTTTTTCAGAGTATTATTGTATTATTTAAACTTGTGTTAATTGAATTTGGTTATATATTTACTCTGAAGAAGTAATTTATGTTTAGTCACGAAACATCGAAAATACAATTTCTTTATTCATTCGGGTTAATGTAACAAAAAGATTATCAATAAATGGATCTTTAACATGTACATCTTAAGATAACCATAAAGTTTCTATGGTTAATTCCTATTTTTCATCCTTATATTCTATGCTTGTGACTTTTTGTTTTATCAGTATAGGGTTGTGGAGATTGTTAAGTTATTGATTGAGGTCATGAACCGATTGATGTTAGACCACCACTGAAAACCTGGAAGCACTGAATGGCCGTTTCATTCTATTGCAGAACTCCTCAGCAGTGTGTATGCACGATCGCGCTCGCGTGATATTGAAGTTAAGAGTTCGCGTGCGCGACTGAAAGCTCTGGGTACGAATCCCGCAAGTGGGATCGTAAATGCGCACTGTAGAGGAATCTCGTAATAAGACGAAATGGCCTGTCCAGTATTTCCAGGTTTACTATGATGGTCTAATATCAATCGCTTCATGATCTCAATCAAAAACATTTTGTTTTGTCACATTAGGATCACTATAGGATATTGATAGAAAATCGTTAGTTTATGTTTTGTACAGTTTGATTTCCATTAGAAAGGAAAATGATTTTTTCTCATCTGCATGTTTCTCTACAATTGTAAACTGATAGTACACAGAAATTGGTTTATTGCAGCAGTGTTTTTTTTTAAAAACAAAAGGCGTGAAATGTTATAATAATGCTATAATATACCTTATCACTTGGAATAATCGGAAGTAATGGAATTTGAGACATGCAGTGCGTTTTGTTTAAGAGTATTTGACTGGATATACTTGTATCTTAGTGCTGATGTAATATAAGCAACGTTTAGCGACCATAATATATCCTGGTATATGATTATATAACCTAATTGTCAACAAAGACTGATCAAATACTGTGGTGTATATAAACTATGGGATATTACCAATCTTTATCAATGTTTTATACCCACTGAAGAATTTAGTCCACATATGAACTCAAAAGCTCAATGAGCAAAGCGTTGGCATCTGGATAAACTTCATTGAGTTTCAATTTCATTAAGCCTATAAACACTGAGATGCATTTTGGTGGAGTTTTGTTCTCTGAGCTGGATGGTTTGGTCGTGAAGCTTTCATCGTTCTTCTGAACGACATCATCAGCACAAACTTCAGATAGAAGTCTGAAGTTTGTGCTGATGATGTCGTTCAGAAGAACGATGAAAGCTTCACGACCAAACCATCCAGCTCAGAGAACAAAACTCCACCAAAATCATCCACCTAAGCTACAAATTTTCTCCACTGAGATGCATGTACATCTAGTTGATAAGTCAGGATATGCATACTTGATTCCAACCAAAATACACCACACAAAAAAACAACAACTTGTAATTGAACTCCAATATTAAGTCATTCAATTAGATTCCCATAATCCAAGAAAGAATAATCAACTTCAATTCTGAATAACACAAAAATAAAAAAAAGTTTACAAAATCCACTAGATATTGTTTACATGAATCTTCTCATTTGATATTTACAACTGCAATCGATCAATCTCTATCTCTTAGTGGCATATGTGCATACTGTGCGTATTAACTTGATATAACTTTAATTCACAAGCATTATAAACAAAAAAAAATAGATAACAGGTTAACAATGGAATCTAGAATGTTCGTTTCGTCCTATTCAGGACTCATGTTGGAGACGATAGATCCCCAAAACTTATATGTTGTAATTTTATCTTATCGATTAAATGTTTAAATATTTGAATGACAGTCAATTGATGAAATTATCGATTGAATATTTGAATGGCTATCGACTGATGAACTTATTGATTAATGTTTAAAAACATCTCACCATGACAATATCGATTATAAATATTTGACTTGTGTGCCTGATTGACCTGACCTGGTATCTGCTGGTTGCCTGTAGAATACACTTCTACGTCTTACCAAGACTTCTTGATCGAGTTAGCTGAGTCGGGGACAACGGACTAGAATAGCCTAGCGAGATTCTGAATCCCTTGATTCGATTGATAAATCACTTCCCTCTAATCGGCGGCGCCTTTGAGTTATAACAACTCATCAATTAAATGTTCACTCTGTGACTCAAACTCAGTACTGTTCGCTTCAAACACCATCATATGATCCACATAGCTACCCAAAATCCTCATCCCTTATTGACTGATATAGTAAAATATGGAGTATGCATATATGTATATATATATTCAATATTACATACAATATTATAAACAACCTACCACAATTTTGACAATAATATGCATAAATTTTCTTTTCCATATATTCAGTATATTCTGCTATTCCACTAATAGGTTCATAATAATTCAATAGTTTACTATTGTTCTTTAGAAAAAATATATATTTGGCATTAGAATAGAATACTGGTAAACATCCTATACCATTTCCATGATGATGATTATCTAATATATATACTGGACCAATAATAACTTCATTCCCAATCGGATAATTAGCTTTATAAATAGTTTTAACTAGTACAGTTATATTGAAGTAGATATTACTATTATTATTAGTAGTAGTATCAGTAGTAGTATTGGTAGTAGTAGTAGTACTAGTAGTAGTAGTAGTCATTATATGATTAGGATATAATGAATGAATTTGTTTATATTTCTCATATGTATCATGATATGTTAAACGTCCCGCTATAATTACATCGGATTGTTTAATTAATTCTTTAATCTTATTATTATTGAATTGAATTTGATAACATGAATCTTTTGAATGGATCACATAATCATCATGATGAGGATAATAATAATGATTGAAATTTCTGATATTTTTTTGTATTTTTTCATAATCAATACATTGATTTATAGGAATGATAATCAAACTATAGAATATGAAGAATATCACATACATGGATACTATATGTAATAAGATTGAAATAATAATAATAATAATAATGATGATGATGATGATGATGATGATGATGATGATGATGATGATGATTACATAATAATGTGAACTTTGGATAATCAGTGAATAATATAGTGCAATGAATATGTAAATTGAACAGTTATATTATTATTATTATATTTTATTATTCATTATAATGGTTACATTTTTTGTAATATTCATATAATCATATCATTGTACATACTCATATGTATTTGAGGGGTACTTGAATACATACGTATGTATAGTATGATGAACGTGATCAGAAGAAAAGAGAGCAAAAAAAAGAACCCATATAAATGATTATGATTGGATAATTAGATTCTATGGTACTTTAGTTGTTAATCTTATTGTCACAAGAGTTAATAGTATCTTTCATGTTTTTTTATTTATTATATTAAATATTGATGTATCAGAAGGGGTTTTTGTGGATATGATAGTAATTTTTCTAATAGTTGAGATTATGAGTTAATTGAAGCTAGACCACTATGAAAAAGATGGAAACACTGGATGGCTGATTCGTTCTATTGTGGGACTCTTCAGCAGTATGCATCCACGATTCCATCTCGCAAGATTCGGACCTATGACCTGTCAGTCTCGCGTGCGAACGCTTAACCTCTGGACCACTGAGCCGGCCGGCATCAAATAGTGCAAATGTGTAACTGGGTTCGTGTGAGGTGAGATCGTGGGTCCACACTTCTGAAGAGTCTCATACTAGAACGAAACGACAGTCCGGTGCTTCCAGGTTTCAGTGGTGGTATAACATTGATCGGTTCATAATCTCGCTATCACATTCTGTTTGGTAATACACTAAATCACATGAGCTTTAAATTTTATTGGATAGAAGAATTCATATCGTTTGAAGAACTATTTTCCTAGCACAAGTAACCACCTCGCAAGATCCGAACCCAGGACCTATAGGTCTCGCGCGCGAACGCTTAACCTATAAACCACCAAGCGGGCCACTATCCAATAGTGTTAATGTCTAACTCCAACTAATTCACATAATTGAGCGACACATCCACCATTATCTTCAGTGAGTTACTATCTCACAACTGATCCGGTTCAACTCCACTGGTCATTGCTTCTCATTAGAACTTCAGGAAATACCTCTTGATATCAGTCACTAGTGAGCATATAGTCTAGCTTCAATTGACTCATGGTCTCAACTATTTAAATATTGATTTGTTTGATCAACTTAATTCACCGAAAATGAAGTTATTCTCTTTTTTCTATGACTCGTCAGTTGGATGTACCTGCATTTCAGAGTTGATGTACACTCTGGGACTTGAACCTAGTACTGTTCGCTTCAATTTAGGTTGACTATTTCCAAATTAAGCAGGCAGATGTCCTAGAAGAAAGTATTAGGAAATGAATGAGGTCATGTTGAAATGAATGAGAACACTGCTGGGGATAACTAATATGTTTTATTACAAAATTCCAGAGTATTTTGATAAAATATGAGAATTATCCATTAAATACTTCATCTGTAAATTTCCACTATTTGTCCTTCACATTCTGTATGTCTATTCCTATTTCCAATTCTTTTCTAATTCCGTTTCTGTTTTCTTTAAGTTGACCTTCATAGCCTTCTGCTGCCAGGTTTTGCATTCCCGATTGATGTTACACACTACTTGTGTCGACAGACATAAGTAGTATACACTACAATATTACACAAGTTGATTGACAAAGAAAAAAATAAGTAAAACTCATTCAAGAAAGAGCAAAATTGATTTTTACTTCAGAACATGTAGTAAGATGTTATAGACTGAATTATCAAAAACTTAGATCGTAATGTAATACAAAACGGTGAGACTATAATTTATCAACGACCTTAAAGCAACCTTAAAGGACTGAGAATGTCTGCCTACTTATTAGGGCTAATAGGGGTTATAAACCAGTGTGAGAAATTAGAATTATGATTCATGGTTGGTGGTTAGGGTTTTCATCACGAAGTGACATCACCTAAAATGCCAAGACTCTATTAAGCTAAATGGATGAATGAAATTCTCACCAAAATTCAAGACTGATTGGTTCGTTCATAAATTACAGTCTCGATAAGCATTCTAGTTCAGATGGATTATTCGTTTGTGTTGTATTGTCTAAGCTGGATATTATGTCAAAACTATCAAATGGAATACAATGATAAGAAAAGCCGACATAGACTCTTGACATAATCATTCACTAATATGGTTGTCAGAAAAAGGGTAAATTAACACACAATTTCACATGTAATAAATGCTGATGAAGATATCCAAGACGCTAAAGAAAGTTTTACTGTTAAACCATCTAGTTTAAACAACTAAAATGAATGTAACTATTGATTGTTCCTTTCCAATGAAAATGTAATCAAAATCTAATATTCAGATGTCCAAAGAAAGTTTAGATTTTATGGTTTAAAAACACTTGCGCATTGAGTAAATGCTATTCACTGTAACATTTCACGTGAACTTTATTCGGTACGTGTTTTTACAATAACTCTATATAATAATCATACATACTTAAGCCTGTTACCCTTCATAGAAGAGCATAGGCCGCACACCAGCATTCTCCATCCCACTCTGTCACGGGTCTTCCTTTCTAGTTCTATTCAATTGTTATTTATTCTTCTTATTTATGTCTCCATTTCTCGGAGTAATGTGTTCTTTGGTCTTCCTCTCCTCCTTTAGCCTTCAGGATTTCATGTGAGGGCTTACCTTACGATGCAGTTGGGTGATTTCCTCACTATGTGTCCTATCAACTTTCAGCACTTTTTCCTGATTTCTTCCTCCGCTGAGATCTGATTTGTTCGCTCCCACATTAGGTTGTTTCTGACCAATGGATTCGAAGTATTTTGCATAGACAACTGTTAATAAACACTTGTATCTTGTGGATGATAGCTTTCGTAGTTATCCAGGTTATAGTTATTTTAAAATATTAGCATCATGACATACGATTAAGTTATTGAAAATATGTCATATGTAGAGATAATTAGAAATATTCAAATTAAGGTACTAACTAAGAATTCTTGAAATAATGCAATTTCAGTCAGTTAGAACTTGATAAGCACAACTGAACGTAATATATATTTGGAATTCGTAACAAGTTTTCAATCAAGTACAAAGAAATCATCATTCTGTGCACATACAACGCATATGAACAATAAACTTTCTTCTATTTCTTTCAATATGGATTCTCTGATACGTACATATGAACTGGTAGGTCGAATAGTAGAGAACATGAAGTGGTTAGGAAACATATTGAGGAAATCATCAAACTGCCTAACGAGGCAAGCCTTAACTTGGAATCTTGATGGCAAAAAAGGAATACCAAAGAACATATTGATTTGGGAATTGGAAGTATACATCGAAAGAATGAGTAGCGTTTAAAAACGAATAGAGAGGACAGCTAAGATTGGAGAATCCCAGACTGCCAACTATCCTCCACAAAGGGTGACATTAAGTACGTATTTCTCAATAATCAAAATAGAGACTAAACATTGCTTCTTTATTCTATGATAAACCAGTCCAGTCCAACAACACCAGAAAAAACTCATGAAGCTTTCCTGTTACATTTGGGCATCAAGAAGACAAAGACTAATCTTTGACACTAAAGCATTTACTGTTTCAACAAAGTATGATATTCTTTTACAAATGATTGAAATGTAAAGTCTTTAGTTGATCACAAATAGCATAAGATAAGACAAGATTATCAATAATAAAAGAGTAAAGATCATTGAGATCATGTTTTACCTTCATTAATCATGAGTATCAGAGTACAATAAGCCTATATCGATTTCTCTATGTTTAGTTCCTACTAGTTTGAATAACACTTCAACCCTTGTTAATTATATATGCAAGTATTAAACCATAGATTTTGAAGGTGAATGTTTGTGACTGAATTTTTAATTATGTTTGTACATTTCGAAATATTGAATAACTTGTGACCTCTCGAAATATTCAGTGAGATATTCTAATTTAGTCTCGCGCGCGAGAGCTTAATCATTAGGCCACTGAGCTGGCCGGCATCCAACGGTGTTAATGTCTAACTACAACCAATCCACGAAATTGCTGAGGAGTCCCGTACTAGGACGAAACGGCCATCCAATGCTTCCAGGTTTTCCATGGTGGTCTAGCTTCAATTGACTCATGATTTCAACTATTGAAATTACTAAGATCTCCACAAAACCATTTCTGATATATGAAAACTGCAAAAGTATACTCTTTAGATGAAAATTCTGATGTACAATTGTTTTCAAATGTTCCTGGAGTTTTACTTGAAGAAAGCCCTTAGAAACTGTGATGACAATTATTAAGTGAATATTTTCAAAATGGCTGTTTAATTGATTAATTCTTTAACACGAATATCTAGAGAACACTATAACAATGATGTTAGAGAACTAAAGATGGACAAAAATTTCTGACCTACGTCACGTGCTAGTTGGTACAACCTAACAAGACATACCCGTAATGTTTGATGAACTTAGAAGAGACTATAAATAGTGGATGATCTCTGGGAGATACAAAAGTGGTCTTGAAAAGCTTGACTACTTACAAGAGTCATACTTAAGTTATAAATTACTGATAAAAATCAGAGTTAAACTTCTCCTCAAGAAATGATATTAGCTATTATTCCAAAAATCTATTTATCCAAATGACTGAATGGATTTAGCCTCGAATTCATGCCAAAGTCTTCATGCTAAATCCAATTTATTCTTCCATATGTTATAGTTCAAACTACAGCTGTATATTCTGAGACGTTATTAGTGAATTGTCCAGAGCGCAACTGACTCATTGTAGGACTGAAAATATTTACATTGACTAACCACTATGTAGTGATCAATATCATATTGTCTAGTTCTTAGTGCTGATCGAAATCGATCAATCAAGTTTCAATGTGATCAATATTCTGAGTGTATCAACATCGTAATTATCATATTTTGATTCAAAATGGAATAAACCACTAATTATTATGAACTTCAAGTAAGTTTAGAAATGTAAACTGATGAATCTAAACTAAATAATTCAAAAATATCGCGATCACAATCATGAT